GCATTAAACATCAATTGATCTTATTAAAAGGGCCTAGACATGCATCATACATCCGTAAACACAATGATGTATAGATATAAATAAGCATAAACAAACGAAATTGATGGTTGAAACTTGAAATCCTAATGTACGAATAACTATGAAATTGAAAGCTATTCAAGCAGACAATTTTACAAACAGATACAAGGCATGTAGAAACCCACCCAAACTATACCAGTATTCACGGATCAAATAACCAAAAGATCAAGAATTGATTGACCTCCATTGAATGCTTAATCCAAGAAAACACATTAAAACCATAAAAATGACAAATCTAGTGACATTAACATTTATCTCACCAAAAAAAAGAACAAAATAATGTATCTGTTGAAGTACGTGAATTAAAATACATGTATTACAACAAAATACATGGATTAAAAACATGTATTATTCTCACCAATAATAGTGTATTGGTTGCGGAAATAATATGTAAAGTACTAAGCAATCTTCTTAATTAATTTCTTATTGGATTTTGTGACAAAAGAATATGAATTCATGGAAGGAAGACTTTTTTGCAAAACTGACAGATTGTGTAGCGTGAGTGGAATAAAAGTGAGAAGGTGATGGGTCCAGAGCATAGCATTTTGGTCCAGTTAGTGTTATTGTATCAGATTCCCTTCTTTTCTTCTTTATTTTTAGCTACCCAGTGAGTAGCCTGAAAAAATAGAGAAGAAGAAAGAGAAAAGCTTGCATACGAAAAGAAAATTGCAGAGGCAAGGGAGTTTGTAATCCACTGACCTGGGATCAAGGAATTCACCCTAGTAGAAGACTCTTCAACTCTAGAATTCGTTGTCCAAGGAGAGTCGAAAGCCACTGATCTTTATGGTTGTCCAATCGGTGAAGTAGAAGAGGTAGAAAATCTGATGAAGAAGAAGAACAGAAGGTGTGGCGTGTAATGAAGAAAAAAAGAGGGTAGGTTCGTCATAAATGTTTTTGCTCGGGAATAAGTTGAGGGTTTTGTCCAAAACCTCCCAATTTACTCAGGAATGGTGAAAGTCCGATTTTTTAGAAATGATTCCAGAAATTGCATTCCAATAGACTTAACCCAAACAACAAATAAGGGATTCATTCCATTATTTAATTCCCAAACCCTTTAACCAAGCAGCCCCTAAGCACGTGGAGTTTTCATACTGTAATAAACAGGTTTGATAAATAAAATGAAATTGCAAAATAAAGTTCCTATCTAAAAGCTTGGTGTGCACACCCACCAATAACCCCATGAAGACATGGCCACCAACGCAACTTCGCCCACTGAACACTCTATCCACCTAATTGTTAAGGAATTGAAAACAATTTTTGTTAAATCAAAACCTAAAGACTAATTGTTAAGGAATTGAAAACAATTTTAGTTAAATCAAAACCTAAAGACTAATATGAGATTAAGACCCTTAGCAGTCAATGGTTTTTCTACTAATGTTTTGCAATTCTAAATTTTGCCTTTTTAACACTACAAGCAATTTGCTTAGCATGAATCTTTTAACCATTTTTCTAAATTAGTTTATCTTTTAAATGTTTTCAGCAAAATTCTCACGGCTTTAGAGAAATTTTGAGCTCATAAGATGTGTGATGTGTATTCTTAATTTGTTTTTCTAAATATATAAGAATTAAAATTATCATATTATTAACGTTTCCTATAAAAATTTCTTATCTTTCAACATTTATGTATAACCCCAACAGAGGTTTTTGGTTGTTTGCCAAATATTGTACCAAATTCATGGATCAATTGATCTTCCTTTTTTTTAGTTTCTTTTGTAGGATACATATCTATTACATTGAAATGATGAAATTATCTGTGCAATAGCACTTTCGTACTACCTATGATCTCTAACTCTATTATCTAACTTGATTGGTTTCATGAGTTTATAATTGTTTAAAGACACTTAATGTAGTGTAAATTATTAAAAAGAACAAGGAATTAATGAATTAAAAGAAAATTAACAAATAATTGAAAGAATATTGTTATGGCAAATTGTCATTGCATGAAATGATAATTCTAGAATTGTAAGTAGCTATAAGTGAAAGACATTAAGCGATAGGAACTTTTTTGTCATATTGGTGGTTAAGGCGTGGATTTAAGATGGGAGGGTGTGGGTTTAGCTCCTGCCTTTTAGTTTTTGAAATGCAGTTATTCCTTCAAGAAACTTTGAGGCAGTCTCATTGTTCTCTTAAATGTAGCCCTAAAATCAAGCCAAACTGATGCAATGGAGAGGGATGTAATAGAAAGGTGATAATGGGTGCAGGACATAGATGAGAGGAGAGAGGAGCTGTTTTGGTTCTCCTATGACAAGAAGGCTGGTAGGGAGGTGACGAAACTTTTCCTTGTTCCAAATTTTAAAAACTTAAATATTCTATTTTTTCACAAATACATAAATTGTTTATCGAGCGTAAGAGATATTAGGTATTAATTCAAAAAAGAAAGATGATCAACTACCGATGCTATTTGAACTTATTTATTTTTTAAACTATCACAAATGCAATAAATTAAATCTACACTACAAACATGATAAAAGTAATAAAAATAATAATAAAAAGTTCCTCGGGCCATGAAATTCCTAATTGCTCTTACAAAAGAAATTACTAATTAATTGAATGTTATTATTTTAACTAGTTATGGTGTAATTTTTAAATATACGCACAACATACTCTTGAAGTGAATCAACTACACTTATAACTAAGCCATACCTATAAAATTAACTATAGGTACATTTAAACTATGAAATTACATGAAATAAATAATTGAAAACACCATAAATATGTCTATCAAATATTGTTTTCACATTGGACCTGATATGTATTTGCATATTACACCCCTGAATTAGAGTCCTGACTCCGCCACTGTGCATACATACAGTTGAATATAATACTACCTTTAAAGTCACTAGTTGCTTGGGGAACGGCTCGACCTTTTTTCATGGGCTGGGATAATGTTGTTTGATCTTTTTTTTTTTTTTTTTGGTCGACGCAGGGATGTCCGGGTCAATCCTTACGGGACCCGATTAATCCCCTGCGGCCCGAGAGAGGAGGCCCCACTCCACACCGAGCACGTTAACAACGGGACTCGAACTCTGGATAAGCCAGAAAGGTCGCCATACCCTAAGGAGGGGGAGCGGACCGCTCGAGCTATTCCGTGGAGGCAGAAGACTAGCCACGTAAGGTGGCAAGTTTGTGGGAGGCAAGGGTTGAATCCCTGACCTCCAGTATCACCAAAGAGAGTGATGACCACTGGACCAAATGGCCAGTGGCGGATAATGTTGTTTGATCAGTTCATGGAATTTTATATGCCACCCAGCTAAACCTATAGGATGGGGGCCATAGTGTTGCAAAAGGGGTCAATCTCATCATAATTCAACCCTCAGTTTTCTACTAAAACCCTTCTTTTGTCATGACAACAAAATTTATTATCTAGTTAAATAGCCAGTAATTAATCCAAAATCAGATTGTCTATTAGCTGAAAGTATTAAGAATTTAAGTTGTTTGGCTGCCTTTAGTCCCAATATTATTTATTGGAAATTTTTAGCTTGAGCAGTATTTCAGTAGACTATATCTTAAGTCTATCATAGAATTTTTTCAGAAACATGAGATGTTTAAACTATAGAGATGCCTAATTTTTTTTTTTTTTGGGATTTTTCTACAAACAGGGAAGGGAGGAAAGAAAAAATCATTTGACCTTATTGCTAGGCCATACCCTGTGTTTGGTCCCTTTCAAATTTCCAACTCCAAAACATAATACTATTACTAAAAATGCTCATCATCCTCAAAGCCCCTTTGCCGGTGGCTGAGGCTCCTTGCAGTATCCGGTAACCAATTACTAAAACCCAGCTCTCTTGTTTTTGGTTTGGTCATTCTATACAGGATTTCATCTGATCTAATTTAAATTCAGCTATTGATTTAATCAATTGAGGTCCCATATTCATGTGTACGGAATATTAGCTAGTTGATTATGCCCAAATAATTGACAGTAAATTCTATCACATAATCATCTACTTCAATGAGTATCTTTCACCTAAAATAATATTTGTATTTGTAAGCTACACTACTTTGCATGAAAGATAGGGCCCAGCTGCTCAAACGTGAAACTGGGAAATTAGAAGTTAAAATCACGATTGGATTGTTACTTTTAAAATTTTTATTAAAAAAATATGCGATAACGATTTAATATAAAAAAATAATTAATAAATATGTTAATAAAAAACATAAAAATATTTTAATAGAAAACTGCAATCCAAACATCACTGAACAAACAATATGCCACGACTTACGGCTAGATCCAATCTCTCGGTTCCTGCGGAAGGAAAAAAGAATTTCATGCTCTTCCTTTCGGAAAAGGATGATTAGGGAAATCCTATTGATTGCAGCTTTCTCCAGACCCTCCGGAAAGACATGGAAAAAAACGGCTCGAATGATACGATCCCTCCGTCACCCCAGAATGAAAGGGGCGATCTGTAGTTATATATCTACGGGCAATTTGCACGCAAACATCCATGAAAATTTCCCATTCAATGGGACCAAGTGTGTAGCTAGGAGCCTAGCTATGACTAAGAGTCAAAAGTTATGTTGACGGCCTGTAGGGAAAAGTTGCACTTCGAAAAGTGTGATTCCATGAAATTTCTAGTATAAGTTTTGCGGAGTGTAGAGGTGAATTACTTCTGGGACTTGAGCCATCTCTTGCAGTGAAGCAGTGGATAAGAGAATGAGTAGAAACCAGTAGATGCATCTCCTCCTATCTTCGTTCTTCGGGGAAAAAAATCCAAAAATGAAAAGCAAAAAATAAAAAAAAGCTAGAGATTTCATGCTAGTATTGATAGTCCTGCTTTCTATTTTCAACTCATTGTTGTCGTGGCACAGCCAATGAAAGCTTTAACTGATTAATGCAGCTTTGCAGCAACTTATTTGCTTGAAAAACAAATTGAAAGTTGGATAAAGCTGTTACGAAGAAAGCTGTATTTCTACTCACAAACAACTCACCAAAATGTAGCAGTGCATAAAAGCGAGTTCATATAACAAAAACACACTATGACACAGTAATTTGATGTGAGAGGGAGAAAAGCACATTATGGTAATTTTCTTTTTCTACAAGACAATTGTAAATGGAGTAAAATGTTAACTCAACAGCATCATGACACAAAACCATGCCCAAAAAAAAAAAAAAGAACAAAACCCAGATGTAGCAATCCTATAAATAAAAATACTAGTATAATTATAATTGGGCAACAAGAGGATCACTTGAAGGTGAGGGTTGATCAACTGCTCCATTCACTGCAAAACAAGTATGAATGTATGATTTAGGAAAAATAGGAGTAACAACAACTAAAACAATCTTGAGAAAAAATAGAGAATAAAGAAAGAGTTAAGTGAAAAATTGATATGCATACAAACATGTCTAAGGGAGTACTTAAGCGAGACTTTGGCAAGAGTATCCTATGTTTCTTCTGCCCATATATAAAATTGAATTGGTCTACATATAAAAAATTATACATATAACATGCACGCATATCAAATTATGTAAGAAATCCAATAACTTTACAAGTGAAAAAAATATCCTAACTCTATCTGGCCCCAATCCACTTAGGGCTAGGAACTAGGGATGATGTATTAACTGAGAATGGAATCAAAGTGCATTATCACTCAACAAAGATGTAATGTCATTTTGTAACGAATTAAAAAAATAGTCTTGATTGAATTAACACGTGCTCTTATTATTGGTTTTGATATCAATAAGACTTGAAGGCAACATGATCATTCTTTATCATCAAATTTTAAACAGATTTTAAGTTTAATCCAAGATATTTGATTAAATAGGCATGGTAATCTAAAACAATTACATGGGATGGGAAGCACAAATAGTTTAAACAGTTGGAAGGCATTTTTTAAGCCATGCAACATTGTTGATGAGTACATTATATGACGATAACACATACTTATCCATTAAATTTAATTTATGAGAGATAATGTAAACTCATTGCCAAAGATGAGGAAATAAACAAAATCTTTTGATTTTGCCTTTACAAGATGGAAGGCAAAGCATTCAAATATAAACTTACTACCTCTTCACCAAATTCCTTAATTAGTCAAGGAGCAAGAATTGCAGTGGATGATGTTGTAGATAAAGAAAAATAAATATTTGGAAGCTAAAACTGTAAAGAATCTCACACAAGTAGTATGATCCCGTTTCCTTCAAAGAGGAGAAAAGAGATATAACAATACACGATGGTCACTAAAAACTCAAAGAAAATATTGAATCATGTTGTTGAAGCTTATCAAACTTGTGATTGGAACTAGAACGGTAAATTGAAAATTAAAAGGAGAAAAATTGGAGGAAAAAGTAAAAAGAGAGAAAGAGTACCTGCGGATATTGATTGAAGGCACATGGCTTATTTTATGATAATCTTGTCCTTGTTTACCATTCACTATCCTAACTCTATTGTTGAATTCTTCGGGCATCCCCGCAAGAGAAACCTCTTTTAGGGTAGTTACATATCTCAAACCATCTGGAATCATTTCCAACTTTTCACAATACTCAATCCGTAAACTTGAGAGCTTAGGTATGGCCCCTTCATCTACTTTCCACTGCTTTAAGTCACCCAAATCTTCAAGCCAGAGATGTTTTAGTTGGGGAAATCCCATTGAGTGGCAAATCATTTCTTGCCCCAGAAAAGATTCTAAGTGAAGTTCCAGTCTTCGTAGGTTAGGAAGCTTCTCAAGTGTTCCCATTGGGTCTTCCTCAATCTGAGTATTGAACAGCTTTAATTGAGTGAGTCCTGCAGGATAAGGAAACATATGGGATTGGTAGTCCGGCAACTTCTTGCACAAAATACCCATGATCTCTAATTCATGAATATTCCTACTAAACAACACCCCTAAAAGAACATTCAAGCCCCTGTTGTTGTTGTTCGAGTTGTTGGAGTCTATCCAGGCCAAATTACAGCCAATGATTTTAAGTGAGCTAATGCGCATGCAGTCCAAGTCTGATATATGATTCACGATCTGTTCCAAGTCCTCAAGATTGTAATATACTCTTGCTTTGAAAGCTCTGAGATTTGATAATTTGCATATGTCTTTAGGATAGCAAAATTCATTATCGAATGCATCAAGTATCTCCAGATGCTTGTTCAACCGCAGCTTAGGTTGAAAGTTCTTGAAGTTTGGAAGATAAAGGTATCTTAAACGCCCCAATTTCCATAGCACATTTGGTATTCTGCAATTAAAACTTTCAGATAAATCTAGAGTTTCCAAGTACTTTAAATTGCCCAAGGAAGATGGCAAGTTTAAATCAGCACACCTCAATTTCAAACATCTCAAATGGATAAGACTACCAACATATCCCAACGGTGATTTGAGAAAACAATCTTGAGAAGCCATATCGGAGAATAAAATTGACAATACTCTAAGCATCTTCAAATTGTTGACTTGGGACATCATTCCCACCCCTGAAAAATATTGCCATTCGTCTTCCAACGGATCACACAGGAATGATCGAAGATGCTTAGTTTGTTCTTTTGGTGGAAAGTTGTACTCAGAGATATCCTGTGGAATCAAACGAAGGACTAAACCATATTGTGCTTCAATTACAGGAGGCGAATCTAGTGAAGTACTTTGATCGACCACGTTATACAAATTCTCCTCTTTTGCCTTGATCAAGCATAGATCTCTCATAAGATCATGAAGCCGGCATGACTTCAACCTTGTTACTGCATGCTTCCCTTCATGCACTTTAATCTCAACCATGCATCTTTTGGCCAATTCTTCCAAGTAGTGCTCTGCAACTTCCATCATTGATTCTTGCCCCATTCTATCTTTCTCAAATATCATACCTTCTCCTATCCACATCTGATACAAACTCTCTGCAGCAATGTCAGAATCTTCCCTGAATTTACCCAAGTAAAGGAAGCATGGTTTTAGTTGCCAAGGGAGGTCATAGTAACTATAAGCTAAAATCTTTGGCACCTCTCCTTCTTTTCCAATTTTTTCTCCCCTAGCCAGATAAGATTTGATATTCTCATGCACCACATTCCATTCTCTGAGGCTTTTTTTAGTTCTAAGAATTCCACCAAGGACCACCACGGCCAATGGAAGACCCCCACAGTTTTTCAACATTTTCTTTCCTAACTCTTCCATCTTGGCCAAATCTGCACAACCTGTGCAGCATTAAACAAAACTAATTCAATATCAACAATGACGCATCTGTCATTCATTTCTCATATAATCCATGGTTCAATCACAGTAGATCTTCCATAATGAGAAATAAGCATCATGGTTACAAGTCAACAACTATACGCAAACCTTAACGGACTGTTAATCGAACAAGTCTCCCAATGTAAAGACTTGAGACCTATCAATAGTCAAGGAAAAGGGCTATTCTAAGAGATCCTTTTTTTCTTAAATCTACTGGATTATATGGATCTGGGAAAAAAGAAAGATCAAGTAGTTTAACTAAATGGTAACAATGCAAAAGGAATTATGTTTCCATTGTAGTATTTCAATTGTTAAAAATTTCAGAAAGGCTATCATTAAAAATTGCCACTGGTATACACGAGACATGTTTTATATGGCTTGGTTAGCAATTCAAAGATGTCCTCAAAATTTTTTGTCATGCGGATGAAATTGTAGGACTATCATTTTTCGGCATATGCATGCATACATACATACATAGGGATGGCAATGGGGGTGGATGACCGCGGGGGCTAATGGGGAGGGGGTTGGGGCGGGGGAGTGTACCCCCGCCCCGCCACCCGCTTTAAAAAAATAAATATATAAAATATATATGTATATAATTATATATATAATATATAATTTAATTAGTTACAAACTTATGATAATGATATTATTAGTTATATGTATTATAATGTCTATTAGTATATATAATATAATTGATATTATTAATTATACTAATAATTATATATATGTACTAATACAAATTATTAATTGGTTATACTAAATTTACTAATACATTTATACTAAATCCCTAATTACACTTAATACAATAACATTTTTTTCTTAAAAAAAGCACAAGCACAATGAATAATAATTTGATGATGTGTTGATAATTTAGTATTTGATTATTTGCTAAAATTTAACCATAATAAAATTATATAATAAATTTTTATTAGCCCCACGGGGGCACCCACGAGGGGAGCGGGGGACGGGAGACGGGGGACGGGGGCGGGGGCGGGGGGAGTTTGTAGGCAACGGACCCGCCCCAACCCGCCCCATTGTCATCCCTATACATACATATATTTAATTTATTTATTTATTTAAATTTATACACCATGGCATTTTGCATAAAATGAATTTAATGTTAATAAAGCGGAAAAATTTTACCTTCACCGGTACTCTCCCTTAATGATTTCATTCGTAGCAACTCCCAACTTTCTTCCTCGGTCAAAAAACGGAGTTGAAGGTGATATCCATTTGGACCAACGTATGCTGCCACGTCTCTGTTACGAGTTGTGAGCAAAATTTTGGTCCCATGCTCCGAAACTGGGATTGCATCTTTTAGGCAATCCCAAGCATCTGTTGACCATATGTCATCAAGGACTATCAAACACCTCCTAGCTCGCAAGTGCTGTTGAAGCAGCCTCGCTAGCTCATCTTGTTTGCTCGTCATAATCAGATTTCTTTGTTCAGGAATAAGCTTCAATAGAATGCCTTGCAAGAGATCTTTTGGTTGCCATTGTTGTGACACATAAACCCAAGCAAAACCTTTAAAATAATGCTTCAACCTTCCATGGTGATATACCTTTCTAGCAAGAGTGGTTTTGCCTATACCTCCCATGCCAAAAATCGAAGCTACACTTATTTTGTGCTCTCTTTCAACCTCATTCAGCAAATATTTAACCAGCATCTCAATATCGTAATGCAGTCCAACCGCATCCTCCTCAGCCACAAAGGAGTGAGTCCGCCTTAATTGTTGCAGCCTGGATGGAGCACTCGACTCTCCTTCCTCCAATCTGGCCATTAAATTTCCATACTCGCCAAAATTTTTTGTGAGATTAGAGATCCTAGTTCTGAGACTTTGAATCTCTAAACCCAAATCATGACGGGTATAACCTTCAGCGGGTATACAAGCAATCCTCTTTAGAGTACTTGTAAAGCCTCCGTTCCTTCGGATTTGAACCCTCAAAGCATAATCTTCAACCAGATCACTTGCTTCATAAGCGACGGCTCTAAACTCCGGAAGCCACTGTTGTACAGCGTCCCTTGCAGTCTGTTTCGTGTCTGCATATCTTAAGAACCTTTGTATCCGTTTGAGATCGTCATGAAGCAGCCTGACTTGCCCGCTAACGCCTTGTAGAAAGTTTCCTTCGTCAATAAGCAATTTACCTATATTCTTTACTGCAGAGGATAGGATTGCTTCTTCCATTTTGGATGAGATTGACGTATATTTTCTATAATGGATGGAATTCACTAGCAAAAGATGATGGTTCTATTTTTACATAGCAAGGGGAGCAATTTATCTGACTCAGATATTGGCAAATGTTAGAAGGCTTTCACGTCTTGACATTGGAAGTCTGAAAACTTTGTATGCTATTGAATTTCTCCACGGACAAGCTCATTTGAATTTTCAAGGAGCTGGCCAGCTCGTTCGGCCCCGACAACACGGTGCATTATTTCGTTCGGTCCCCACAACACGGCGCATGAAAGCAAAAGCGCTATGTCCTAAAAAATAAAAAATAAATTAAAAAAAGGGCAAAAGCACCATGGACATGAGATGAAAGCAAAATAGCAAATTAGAGACATGAAAGCAAAAGCTCGATGGACATGAAAGCAAAAGCAATAGAAGCATTTCTTCCTTCCTTGGTCTTTAGAAAAGAGGCTTGGTAGTTTGTGCCTTTTTTTATAACAAGATTAAAAATAACATATAACCATCGGAGTAATACGTAACTAAATAATAGCATAAATAAACATACAAGTAATGGAAGAAGAAATTAGATATTCACATCTAGTGACGCTCTAACTCAGGATCTTTTATGTCTACGGCCTTAAACTTTAATCATTGAATCAAAATCTCAAGGCGCAATGACAAGGATAAGCATGAGTAATTATATTGCTTTGCAACGAAGGACCAAAAGGATTAAAGTAATTTATCTTGCTTCAAAATCAAATCCACATCTGAATCAAGTTTTATGACAACAGACCAAAACATCAGAATACAGCAATAACAACTAATTAAGTAAAACGTACGGCAATGCATTGAGAAATCTTTGCCAAATTTGGTGCATAAAAGCAAATTAACATGACCAAAACACTACTAATTCAATTAGGCAAATGGAGAATTGCGTCTAAAGTGTTTGGATAGTAAATTATTTGAGATAATTTTGTAAAAAAATACTGTAACACTTTTTTGATGTAATGTATGTAAGATAAAAATGTGATTGAAAAATATGTTAATGATGCAACCAAATCAGTGTGTGTAAGTTACTTGAGCGCTAGTACTCCTGCACATATCCTCTCATTGTCCTGTTTGATTTAACACTTGGAACAGTTATTTCTTTCTTTATTTATCATGGCTTCTCTTTTGTTAAAAGTTGACGTTGTTTGGATTGTATATTCTAAAAAAAAAAAGAATTTTACATTTTTTTCAATCACTTTTCTTATCTCACATACATTAAATTGGTACAATTTTTTTTTTAATAAAAACTCTTAAAAATAACAATCCAAACAAGATAAGTTAATTGGTTGAGATTAAACTACACACTTTTGAGGCCCTTAAAACCCAAAAGTCCCACATGATTTAATTGGTCTTTCATGCTATAACATACCATACCATGTAAGAGTTGATCTTTTGAGGCCCTTAAACCCAAAAGCTTCAGATGATTTGTCAAGTTTATGTCTATCAATCTAATACCATTTCTCAACATAAATGTAAATGGAGCGGTAGGCTGTGGTAAAATCTAGTCCATGTGCTGAACAATGTGTTTTTAAGTACAAAATTTGGGCATTCCTCAGAAGGAAATGATTATATTAAGGATAAATTATCTTTTGCCTCTTGAAGTTTACTATTTTACCACATAATCTCCCGTGATTTTAAAACCTATACATAGCCCTTTTATGGTTTGAATTAAAGTATCACCATTAATTTTTTTTCGTTAAAACTAACAATCAATAGTAAAAAGTCAAAAATCAAACTAATAAATTGATAAATTTATTGTTTTATTACTTCTTTTTCTTTTGCTCCAAACATAGAAAAAGAAGAAATTGAAATAAAAAATTGATAAATAAGAAATAAAAACACCATTAAAGATTTGGTTTAAAAACCTATAATGATACTTGTAGTCAAAAAAGATTTGGTAGTTTTCGTTTCTTATTTATTTGTTTATATTTTCCTTTCATCTTTTTTGTTTCTTATTTATTTATTTTTTATTTCCTTCCATCTCTATTGTATTTGGAGAAAATTGAGATTTTAAAGGCCAAAGTATAGGTTTTCAAAATCATCTCTTCTCTTCCCCAAAAAAGAGAGAGGGAGAAAGAAAAGGAAAAAAAAAAAAAGAAGTGAAAGAATGAATTTATCAATTCATTAGTTTGACTTTGACATGTACTATTTATCATTAGTTGCAATGGAGAAACTAAACGGTAACACTTTAATTCAAACCATGAAAAGGTTATATGTAAGTTTTTAAAACATAGAGGAGTTCGATGATAAAACATCAAACAAGGAAATTAAAAAGTAATTTGCCCTTATATTAAGGCAGGGCTGGAATTTTGTCTTACAAGCCAGTTATGTTTCTTTCTTTTTGTTTACATCACCCTTGATGCCCAGGTATTCCGCCAAGACAAGACAATTCAGGAGAATCTTTGTCTCGACCAGTAATTTGAGAAATGGCAGGAGGATGAAAAGCAAAATCTGGCAATTTATTATGCTACAACAACAATTGCAGCATGATGTAAGATATTGCATGCAAAATGACACAAATGTCGTCAAAAATCAAACCACACGAGAAGAAGCAAAAGAAGTTCCATTGAAACCCAATAATCCCGCAAATTACAATAATCATTATAACATTAGCTTTAATTAGGAAACAGGAGGGAGGATTGTCCTGAATGTGAGGGTTCATCAACTACTTCAGCATCCCAATTAATCCATCATGGCATCTCTCTGTATTGCGGATGGATACTCTTTCAATAGCGTTCCCTTTGTGCAAAACAAGTATTAAGTTTATATTAACAGTCACAAGTAAAAAGCCTGAAGGAAAAAAAAAAAGACGTAAAAATAAAAGAAGAAAAAAAACGAGAACAAAGTAAGATTTAAAAGAGAACATTATACGCATACAAAAAGGTTTGAGGATGTGCTTATCTATGGGTGCATTTGGATAGGAGATTATTTGTAAAAATTATTTAACTAAACATTGTAGTATTTTTCGTGATATGATATATATGGGATAAAAAGGTGATTGAAAATTATATTTATAATATAAGTAGAATAATATTTGAAAAAAAAATTTCCAAACCAACCCCATGTTTGTTTTGCACAAATTATGTAGCCTCACAAAATTCAAGCATAGATAGCCACTTGATATAAGTATATAATGCAAGTGAGAATGGAATCAGGGTTATCGCTCTTTTCTTGCAGAAACTGACTCTTCAGTTTTCGTGGAGATGGGTCGTAAAGTGGTCCCTGTCTAATACATTGAGAAGCATAAAGCAGATCCTTGGCGATTTACAGGTTGATCTTTCCCATGTATTTAGGGAAGTGAATTCAGTAGCTGATGCTCTTGCTTCTTTGAGGTTTTGAGGGGATGCGTTTTTTTATTCTTTGAGAGATCTCCCGTGAAGTGTTCGTGCTGCTTTTGGAATGGACCTCCGTTCGTTTCCGCACATTAGGGCTTTTAAAAGCATATAGCTAGATTTTTTCCTTTCTCATATAGTTAGATTTTTTCCTTTCTCCGACTTTGAGGTTTTTGGCATTTCATGAGCTCGGTGTACTTTTTACTTGTGGGTTAATAAAATAAGGGACTGACGCCCCTCTTTTTTCAAAAGAAAAAAAAAAGGAGTATATAACCACTTGATAAAGGCAAAATTTTGGATAGACATAAGCTTGTAGATTTGGTAGTCCAAATTTTGCCATATCTTCAATACTTGAATTAATGAGATGGCGTGACAAATTTTGAACTACTAAATCTACGTAAACAGAGTCTAATCAAGTGTTTGTCATTAACAAATATATGTAATGCTGTACTAAGAATAAAATTAAATAGTGTTGGCTCAAAAAATAATAAAAACTAAATAGCCTTGATAGAATTAACATGTGCTCTTAGTGTTGGAGAGAATTTCTCTTCATTATACGCCAATAATATTAATATAAAAATTATTTCAAAAATCAACACCATTCATAGTTTATTTTATAAGTTATATTAGTTATATATAAAATTTCGTGTGAAATTGACTAAGTTTCACCCTCTGATTGATACTTACAAATTTTATTACAATTTTGATTCATTTTTCATTCTTCAAATGTTTCGAGAAAATTGAATGCCAAGGTATTCACAAAAAGAATACCATTTTTAGTATGTTAATCTAGAGATCAAGAAAAAAATAATGACAGAATTGGATGAGTTTATGAGTTTAAAAACTTTTAGATAAAGTTAAATAGGTAATCCAGAGGGATAATATTTGTTCTGCTACTCCAGGATTTCACTCCCAACAGAGCCACATATAGTTGAAGGTGGGTAATTGCACCCCCTTAACTTTGGTAAAAATCAAGACAGCCTTAGGAAAATTGTGAAGATTTTAAATTATATTATATTTGCCCTCCATCCTCCCCCAAATTTTGTAAAATTACCTTTTATAGTTGCGTTGCCCCCTAAGCTATTAAGATATCATAATAATTATCTTTTGTTGGACTCTTGGATCTACTTTAAGTTATATAATGATTGATCCATTTGCATTGAAAGTTATTTGAAAATTTTACTTGACTATAGCAATTTTTCTATGTGAACTATTTGAGATGACAAAAATGTTGGAAAATGTATGTTAAGGCTAATAAGAAATATTTTTAAAATTTTTTTTTCCAAAATTTTTATGTTCTTAACTCAAATAAGTAGAATGATCTTATTGCTAAACTAAAGTCATAAATTATATTTAATGATACATGTAACAAAAATGTGTATCAAGCAGTGTTATTAATTATGTCGAAACATGACACTCACATATTGCCACCCAACTACACGTATAGGATAGGGACCATAGTTGGGCAAAAAGGGGTCAAATCTTATCAAAATTCAACCCTCAGTTTTCCACTAAAACCCTTTTTTTTTTAATGATAATAGAATTTATTACCTAGTTAATTAGCCAGTAATTAATCCAAAACCAGATTGTTTTTTAGCTGAAAGTATTAAGAATTTAAGTCATTCTTTTTCTTGTTTGGCTGCTTTTAGTCCCAATAGAACTTCTTGGAAATTTTTAGCTAGAGCGGCAGCTCTTCTATCTTAAGTCTACCATAGAATTTTTTCAAAAACATGAGAAGTTTAAATCGTAGAGATACCTAATTTGTTTGGCTTTTTTCTGCAAACAGGGAAGGAAGAAAAAAAAAGATCATTTGACTTTATTACTAGGCCAAGCCTAGTGTTTGGTCCCTTTCAAATTTCCAACTCCAAAAAAATAATACTAATAATAAAAATATAATATTAAAACTCAAAACAACAATCACTTGTGTTTGGATGTATATATTGTAAAAATTCTGAAAATCTTTTAGTAATTGTCGTTACGGTTGGTTCCCCTAAATCGGGTCTTGGATTGAGTTGCGTTATCCGAACCCACTTTGGCCGGACAGATCTTCCCAAGCTCATCAAACTCAAAGCCACCTTGCTGGTGGCTCCACGCTATCTCCGGTAACCAATTACTATAACCCATCTCGATCTTCTTTTTTTTTTTTTTTGTCATTCTCTTTTTTATAAAGTGTATACAGGATTTTATCTTATCTAATTTAAATTCACCAATTGATTCAGTCAATTGAGGTCCCATATTTATGTGTATCTTTCACCTAAAATAACATTTGTATCTATAAGCTTCACTGCTTTGCATGAAAGATAGGGCCCAGTTGTTCAAACGTGAAACTGCAAAGTTAGAAGTTAAAATCCCATTTTGAATCGCTATTTTTAATTTTTTTAAAAAATATATCGTAACAATTTGATACAAGAACCAATTAGTTGGATGGATGTTTCTTGTAAGTTCCGCTTAGATTGCTCTTCTTGGGCCGGTTTAACTGTTAACTCCGATGTGTTTAGTCTAATTATAGGGTGTGTGTGTTTATTTCAGTTTCTGAAAAAAACAATTTGATACAAGAAAAAATAATTAAAAAATATATTTATAAAGAATATAAAAAATATTTCGATAGAAAATTACAATCTAAACACCACTGAACAAACAATAATATCAATACGTCACCATGTACTTCTTCGTGCAAATTACACGCAAACATCCCGGAAAAATTCCTCATTCAACGGGACCAAGTGAGTAGCTATGAGCCTAGCTATGACTAAGAGTCAAAAGTTATGTTGGCGGCCCGCAGGGAAAAGTTGCCCCTTCAAAAGTGTGATTCTGTGAGATTTCTAATAAGTTTTGTGGAGTGGAGAGGTGAAGCAGTGGAACTAGTAGATGATCCCTTGCAGTGAAGCAGTGGATAAAAGAACGAGTAGAAACTAGGAGATGCATTTCAAGGGAAAAAGCCCAAAAAAAAAAAAGGCTTGAGATTTCATGCTGTTGTTGACACTTCTGCTTTCTATTTTCAATTCACTGTTTTCGTGGCACAGCCTAGGGAAACTTTGACTGATTAATGTAACTTTGTAGTAACTTATAGTTGCTTGGAAAACAAATTGAAAGTTGGATAAAACTGTTACGAAGACAGTTGTATTTCTACTCACAAAACACAGTATGAGAATAAGCAAAAACAACTCACTAAAATGTAGCAGTGCACAAAAGTGAGTTCATATAACAAAAACACTACCAATTCAATTAAGCAAATAGAGGATCCACTGGGAAGTCATCAAGAATCCATCAAATGCTTGAGCAATGTTACTCCACCAGCCCCTCTTTGCCTTTGTTTGATTTAACACTTGGGAACAGTTACTTCTGTATTTATTGAAGATGGATTCCTTTCGGGCCAAAATTTTGTCATGTCACTACAATAACTCACGATTAGTTTATCGCATAACATATTACTCACTACTTGAATTAGGTTTTACTCTAGCCTACAACTCCGGTTACATCCATGTTAGTGTTGTGGAGCTGATATGAGGTTGATAGACCTATTAAATCATGTCAGGTTTTGAATCCAAAACCTGTATTTTATGAGATCTACTAAACAAGAGAATCCTATGTTTCTTCTCCCCATATTAATACGTAGTCTCATAAAATTCTATAATAGATAACTAGACTGTACCACTTTGAAACACTAACTTTGTAGTTCAACGGGGGATTGGGGTAGGATTAATACGATTGTATGGTTATTATATTTCTTTCAATGTTTGATGTATATTTATATACAGGAATTGGTCTAAATGAATAAATTTATACATATAAAAAGTTACGTGTGTGTATTAAATTATGTAAAAAATCCAATAACTTTCCTAGCCCTAGTCGACTTGGTGGCTAGGAACCAAAGTGCATTATCACTCAACAAACATGTCATGCCATTTGTACTAGAAATTAAAGTACATAGTCTTGATTGAATTAACGCGAGTTCTTATTGTTGGTTTCGATATCAATAAGACTTGAAGGGAACCTGATCCTTCTCTATCTAAACAGATTTAAGTTTAATCAAAGATATTTGATTAAATAGGGATGGTAATCTAAAACAATTAAATGGAAAGAACAAATAGTTTAAGCAGTTGATAGGCACTTTTTATGCCATGCAACATTCTGTCACATTATATGACGGTGACACATACTAATCCACTAAATTTAATTCGTGAGAGATTATGTCAATCCAATTCCACAGATGAGGAAATAAGCAAAATCTTTTGATTTTACCTTACAGGATGGAACACAATGCATTCAAATATGAACTTACTTCCTCTTCACCAAAATTCGTTAACTGGTCATGAAAAAGAATTGCATTAGATGATGTCTTAGATAAACAAAAATAAATATTTGGATTAAAAAGCATCTCACAGAGCAAATACTATGATCATGTTTCTTCCGAAGAGGAAAAAAAAAGTTATAAAAAACACATCAATCATTAAAAAGACAAAAGAAAATATTGAATGATGTCGGTGAAGCTTATCAAAATTGAGATTGCTAAGAAAAAGGGAATTTCAAGAACCGTAGATTGAATATTAAAAGGAAAAATATTGGAGAAGGAAAAGGTAAAAGGAGAAAAAGAGTACCTGCGGATATTAACCAAAGGTACATGGTTTATTTTATCATAATCTTCTCCTTGTTGACCATTCTCTCTCTTAACTCTGTTGTTGAACTCTTTTAGGGTGGTTACGTATATCAACCCATCTGGAATCATTTCCAATTCTTCACACACCCCAATCCATAAACTTGAGAGCTTAGGCAGGGCCCCTTCTTCCACTGTCCACTGCAGTAAATTACACAAACGATGAAGCCCAAGATTTTTAGTTGGGGAAATCCCATTGAGTGGCAGATCATTTCTCGGCCCAGAAAAGAATATGACCCAAGTTCCAGTATTCTCAAGTTAGGAAGCTTCTCAAGTATTCCTATTGGGTCTTCCTCAATATAAGTATAATACAGCTCTAATTGAGTAAGTCCTGCAGGATCAAGAAATATATGGGATTGGTAATCCAGTAACTTCTTGCATAAACTATTGCCAATCTCTAATTCATGAATATTCCTACTAAACAACACCTTGAAAGAACATCCAAACCCCTGTTGTTGCCAAAATCAAAGTAAACGATTCTAAGTGAGCTAATGCGTATGCAGTCCAAGTTTGATATATAATTGATGATGTGTTCCAGGTCCTCAAGATTTTTATACACTATTGCTTTGAAAGCTCTGAGATTCGATAATTTACATACTTCTTTAGGATAGCAAAACCTGTTATCGAATGATTCAAGTATCTCCAGCTGCTTGCTTAACTGCAGCTTAGGGTGAGCGTCCCACCACCTCCAGTCTGGAAGATAAAGATATCTCAAACGTTCCAATCTCCATAGCACGTTTGGTATTCTATAAGAACGAGAACTACCAGATAAATCAAGAGTTTCCAAGCACTTTAAATTGCCCAAGGAATATGGCAAGTTTATACCCTCTCCTCTCAATCTCAAACATCTTAAATGGATAAGATTACTGACATATCTCAGAGGTGATTTGCGAAAAAAAACTTTGGGAGGCCATATCGAAGTATAAAATTGCCAAGACTCTGAGCATCTTCAAATTCTTAACTTGGGACACCAACGAATCACACAAGAATGAGCGAAGATGCTTAATTTGTTCTTTTGGCGGAAAGTTGTATTTCGAGATAGCTCTATCTCTTGGAAGCAAACGAAGGACTAAACCATACTGCGCTTCAATTGCAGGAGTAGAATCTTGTGAAGTACTTCGATCGACCACCTTGTACAAATTCTCATCTTTTGCCTTGGCTAAGCACAAATCTCTCATAAGATCATGAAGCCGACATGACTCTAACCTTGTCACCGTACGCTTCCCCTCCTTGTGTACTTTAATCTCAACCATGCATCTGTTTGCTAATTCTTCCAAGTAACGCTCTGCAACATCCACCATTGTTTCTTGCTCCCTTCTATCATTCTCAAATATCATACCTTCTCCTATCCACATCTGATACAAACTCTCTACTCCAATGTCGGAATCTTCCTTGAATTTACCCAAGTAAAGGAAGCATGGTTTTAGTTGCCAAGGGAGGTCATAGTAACTATAAGCTAAAATCTTTAGCACCTCTCCTTCTTTTCCAATTTTTTCTCCCCTAGCCAGATAGGATTTGATATTCTCATGCACTTCATTCCATTCCCTGAGTGTTTTTTTAGTTCTAAGAATTCCACCTAGAACCACCATGGAATATTTCAACATTTTCTTCCCTAACTCTTCCATCTTGTCCAAATCTTCACAACCTGAGTAGCATTAAACAAACTAAATTAATATCAACTACGACGCATCTATCATTCATTAGCATCATGTTATCATTGAACAACTATACACAAACCTTGATAGTCCGTTAACTGAACAAGTCTGTTTAAGTAAATGGTGACAATACAAAAGGATTTATGTTTCCATTGTAGTATTTCAATTGTTAAAAATTTCAGAAAGGCTATCAAAAAAATTGGCACTGATATACATGAAATATGTCTTATATGTCTTGGTTAGTAAGTCAAATATTTACGTAAAATTATTTGTCATGCGGATGAAATTGTAGGACTATCAGTCTCACACAAACACACACACAGATACACATATCCTTCTACATGAAATGCATTTAATGTGAATAAAGGAGAAAATTTTTACCTGCACTATTTCTCGCCCACAATGATTTCTTTCGTAGCAATTCCCAACTTTCTTCCTTGGTCAAACAATGCAGTTGATGATGATAACCATTTGGATCAACATGTGCTACCACATCTCTATTACGAGTTGTAAGCAAAATTTTGGATCCATGCTCCGAAACTGAGATTGCTTCTTTTAGGCAATCCCAAGCTTCTGTTGACCAAATGTCGTCGAGGACTATCAAACATCTCCTAGCTCGCAAGTGCTGTTGAAGCAGCCTTGCTAGCTCATCTTCTTTGCTCGTCATTATCTGTTTTCTGTTTTGAGGAGTAAGCTTGAGTAGAATGCGTTGCAAGAGATCTTTTGGTTGCCATTGTTGTGACACACAAACCCAAGCAAAACCTTTAAAATAATCCTTCAATCTTCCATGGTGATATACCTTTCTAGCAAGAGTCGTTTTGCCTATACCACCCATGCCGAAAATCGAAGCCACGCTTATTTTGTGCTCTGCCACCTCATTCAGCAAATATTTAACCAGCACCTGAACATCATTAGGCAGTTCAACCACATCCTCGTCGGCCACAAAGGAGTAAGTGTGCCTTAATTGTTGCTGCCTGGATGGAGCACTCAACTCCCCTTCCTCCATTCTGGCCATTACATGCCCATACTCGCCAAAATTTTTGGTGAGATTAGAGATCCTAGTTCTCAGACTTTGAATCTCTACACCCAAATCATGATGGGTGTTACCTTCTGTGGCCATACAAGCAATCCTCTTTAGAGTACTTGTAAAGCCTCTGTTGCTTGAAATTGAAAGCCTCAAAGCATAATCTTCAACCAAATCACTTGCATCATAAGCGACGGCTCTAAATTGCGGAACCCACTGGTGTACAGTGTCCCTTGCAGACTGTTTCGTATCTGCATATCTTAAGAATATTTTTATCCGTTCGAGATCGTCACGGAGGAGTCTAACTTGCTCGCTAGCGCCTTGTAGAAAGTTTCCTTCTTCAATAATCAATTTGCCTATATTCTCTACTGCAAAGGATAGGATTGCGTCTGCCATCTTGGACGAGATTGATTTATATTTTCTCTAATGGATGGAATTCACTAGCAAAAGATGATGGTTTTACTCTTACACAGCAAGGGGAGAAATTTATCTGACTCAGATATGGACAAACGTTAGTAGACTTTCACATCTTGGCTCTGGAAAGTCCGAAAACCTTGTAGGAATGCTATTAAACTGGATGCTTCTAGTGTGAAAAGTGGGAATTTCTTCCCACCATGGGCAGAACCACCACAATCACAACAACTCTGCCTGGGACCATTGTCAAAGGCTTATGGGTCTACATGGATTCAGGCAACCGGTAGGCAACGGTAGGTGAATTACACAGGAGAGGAACGTGGGACTTTCTAAAGGACTTCACTGCACCTATCAATATACATTAGATTGGATTAATAAATGCTCAATTGGAAGAACATAAAGATCCGAGAGACAATAAGACACAAACGCCAAATTCCTTTTCTCAAAACATGAATCCAGTGGCCATCATTTTCCAGTTTTAATAATATTCAATTTCTATGCGTATGATTGTGAAAAATTCCTCCAATTTCTCTTATGGTGGCCAACTCTATTACTGAACCAAATAACTAAAACTAACTGTTTAGTAAAAGTTCATTATTCACTATCACTATCATTAGTTAATAATAATGGATTTTTGTTGAACCCATAAAATGTTAGGTAACTTAAAAAATATAGGTATAGCTTTTACACTTTCCCCTTTTTCCTACTTCTTTTTCTTCTAAATTTTCTTCACTCTCTCAATGTGTTCTAGTATTTTTTAAGTTAATATTATACTAGTGTACAAGACACATTATAGAGCAATTGAAATTAGAGTAAAACCTCTACAAATCAATAATTTGAGACCATACAGGTTTTATTAATTTAAAGAGATACTAATTAATTGATAAATTAATAATGTATTAAATTCTCAAGTGTACTTACAATTCAAAGAAATGCCCATTTAATCAGCAAAAGTTTTATTTTATTTTATGAAAATATAAAGCATTCTATTTGTAAAAGGAGACTAAATATCTAAGATATTTATGAACTTAAGATGATAATCAATGATATTAGCTACCATAATAAAAATGAATGTTACCTATTGGATTATTTGGGTGAAAATGATACAAGTTCAGAAATCTCAATATTAGAAAAATTTATTATTGGCATCACTAAAAATCATGCTAATGATGAGACTGAGGATGACACTCCCTCCGTCCCACTTTGATAGTCCTGTTTCTTTTTTCACACAGTTTAAGAAAAAGTAGTTAGCTTTGTTGGAAAAGTAAATTTAGATTGCTATTTTTCTAAAATACCCTCACATTAAATATGGTACAACTTTATGGGAACTCGAATTGATGGTAAAACAAGAATCAACTCTCATAAAATGGGGTAAGTTTATAGTAACAACAACTTACATTGAATAAGGGTATTTTAGAAAAATTAAAATATAACTACATTCTTCAATTGGAAAGTGGACTACAATTTAGGACAGACGAAAAAGGAAAACAGAACTATCAAAGTGGGACGGAGGGAGTACTATAGTTTTGGTGTGAGGACTTGCAAAATTCTCCATATTTTCTTAAAATTCCCTTTTATTTTGAATAAATTACTTTATACTATCTTTACTACTAATTTACTCCCTCAATAGTTGTAATAAATAATAGAATCGAGAGTTTTATCTTTACTTTTAGAGTTAGGATAAATTAGGATTTTTGCGCATTTTGGTAGTATGATTAGTTGGTGAGGTGTGTGTACTAAATTTGATGGATAAGAGTGAGTATTAGGTAAAAGGAAATGTGTGATTAGAAGTGTTAATACTAAGTTAGTGAATCATAAGTTAAAACACAAGTAAGAGAGAGTTAAGGAAAATAGGTTTGAACCAACGTGCACCGTTTGTTACTGATTGAGAACACCACTTGACCATTACTTTCTTATCATAATTTTCTTTTTTTTTTATTTCATCTAATCAACCCTAAATTATCCCTTAATCCAGCCGAAATTTTTGACCAAAGAAAAGGAAGAAAAGAAAAAAAAAATCTTGAGTGACAAGTGTTGGCAATCAAAGAAGAGTTTGACCAAGACAATTCCTTCCTTCTTATCTTCCATTTTGGCTAACTTTCCTCCATTATTTCTTCATGTTGGCCAAGAGCAAGGAGAGGAAAAAGAGAGAAGAAAACTTTCATTTCCAACCTTGATTTTGCCTTGTCTGAGTTGAGATCACAAAAACTAAACCAATTAAACTAGTCCCTTGGAGCTTAGGAAGCTTGGAGTAGTGAAATTCTTGGGAGAAATTGCTTAGTTCTTCACTTTTCAAGAAGTTTTGGAAGGTATAAGTTTATCAACTTCCTTTCTCTTTCTTATTCTTGCTAAATATGGTGTAGATGGCATGCATCTTTGAATATATGGATGATCTTCTAGTTTTGGTGTTGATTAGTGGATTTTCAGCTAGGGTTTTGCCATTTTAGCCTTGATTTATGTTGTTCAACTATATGATGTTGGTATTGAGTTTGGATATGGAATTTGTGAGGTGATTAGTAGCATGATTGTGACTTTTTAGCGTTAAACGATGACTTTCCAGCTTTGCTAAGAAATTTCCAGCTTTGATATTGGATGATTACTTGCTAAAAATGAACTACAATTTGATGGTTTTTAGCCCAGATGAAGAGCTATCTTGATATGCTACTTGTGGTTGTTGAGTTGGGCTGATTTGAGGAAAAAAAATGAAGCCTTAATGGCTGGATAAATTGATAAATACAAAGGATATGCTGCCCAATTTTTCTTTCGTAGGATAAGCGAGTGAAATCGGAACTTGAGCGGTGATTCGTGGATGAATTGAATTTAGGTTGTTTAGGGTATTCAAGATTCCTTTAATAGAAGTATATAAGCTGAATTTTTGCCAAAACTCATATACTTTTAAAGGTGAAAGTAGCGACTACTTTCAATACGATTTCTTAGTTTTTTAACACCAAGTTGCGAACTTATAAGTGTTAATCGCTTCTTTATCAAAACTAAAAGAACGAGCATGAATTTTCTAGAGTTTGATAAGTAAAATGAATACTACTTAAACGAGTTTCATTTATTTGATTTTCTTTAAGCGAAACTCTTATATTTTGAACCTTAATTGATTTCAAACTGTTAAATGATATTTTATCGCAGATTTGGACTCCAGCCAGGGAGTTGAACCTGAGCGTGGTTTTTCAAAGCAATAAGTCATTGGTGAGTGTTTCCAAGTGCATCATTGAACTTGATATTTGAATGAATACTTGACTTGTTTGCACGGGTAAGGGTGTACTTTACACTACTGTGACATATTATTGTTCATTGGTTACAACTGACTTGATATACATGTATATGACTTGAATACAGTCTGAAATTTCAGAAACCCTATAGCTAGTTAATCGAGTCGAGTCAGCAAGGGTCTGGTCAATTAGATAATGAACCCTGGGTCTCTAGTTTTGTCGAGTAGAGTATTATCTTCTCGACTAATTGGTATGCTCAAGTATTACCACCAGTATTTATCTTGGAATTCGAGCCCGGTAGGGGGTTTGAATGGTGGACGTAGATTGAAGATAAGTGAAGCACTACTGGATTGGTTACTCTATTTGAAAGTTGACGGAGTGTCAACCACTACTACTTGGTAAAGCTATGGCGGAATTAACTCGCAAAAGCGACTGTATCCTTTTACTTGGAAATGTTGATTGCCTAATGACTGCTATGTGAAGTGTTATTGCTCATGTTATGAACTCTTATACTCGTTACTTTGATATTTTCACTTTTAAATAGTGGTCAACTTGCTTTTTGGGTCTGCATGATGTTTTGGAGCCTCACTAAGAAATAGCTCACTCTATTAGTTTTGTTTTCCTTACAGAGGGTGCGAGCGAGAGAGTGAAATTGGTACAGACTAGCATCGTCTAGTTTTTGGAATTTTTGCAATTGTACTTGCGCTAGTGTTCGATTAGGGTTGAGTTTGTCTGGAATTTTAAATATTTTGAGATATTTGGGAATGTATGAGCCTTGGAGCCTAACTTAAACATCAATATACATTCTAAGCTTGGGAATTGTTATTTCATTCATTATATTTTCAATAGTTGTAAATTAATATTTTTTAGTAAGTAGAGCGAGTTCTGGCGAGAATTGGGTAGGCGGTCCACTAAACCCTAGGATATACCTTAGGGGGAGGTGGAGTCGTCACATTTGGAGCCTGTTATGCAAAAAGAAACACTCAAAGCATCAATAACTCTTCATAATTTCTTATTGTAACATGAGAATTCAAATCCAAAACTTTTAGATGCAATAAGAAAAATAAGGGATGAGATTCATGTAGATTTAAATTTTAAGAAATAACAAACTACAATACACTCATATTTTAGGAAAATATAATATATAATTTTAGAGAATTATTAATTTATGATATGAATAGGACCAAAGGGTTATATAAGATTTTCAAAAATTTATTATTTTATCAAAATTATTAATTTAGCTCATTAACCCAAGTCAGGATCAAAAAATTATTGTGTAATAGAGATTATTAATTTATAGAGTTTTTACTGGTCATTTGTAAAAATATCATTCATGAAAATTAGTTTTTGTGAAGGATATTTATGATATGGTGATTTTTTATGGTATTAGTTATTTGATAATTAATTTCAATTGGCTAATTACTAACATAATTTAAGTTCATATTCAAAAATAAGAGGGCACATAATTAACTAATTAACAGCAGTACCACGGGCAATCGGCTTTCAGGGGTGCGTAATCAATTGGCGAACCCTTTTTTCTTAATCCCACAAGCAACCGGCTTTCCCCAGTTTACACAGTATATCTTTCGGCGGTCACTCTCTACTGGCCCCCACCAAGCACTATTGGCTTTCTCTTATTCGCTCCGTCCACGGTAAGCAAACATATTCACTTTTCACCGTAGCCAGAAACCTACTGAATTTCTCCAATGCACTATCCACACGGTACTGGCCAGGTTGTTACGTCCCTACACCGTGCATTAT